ACCCATACTCAGGCACTAAGGATCTGAGTGTAACTGTGACTAGTAATAAACAGATACATAGAGATTAAAGACACATGTGCAAATATCTAAGTGTTAGTAACATTAAAATGCAGGAAACATCATATTTTAAAATGAAATGGAGGGTAAAAACTCATTCAATTTTATGTCTTACAGGGCTTATACTGAGTTCAATATTGTATAACTGTATTAATTAAATCGTGAACCTAAAAATTTACAGCCACTTTTGAAAGAGATGTATCCTTGCTCTGGAAAAAAAAAGTGTTGATGTGTCTGACGTTTATGTTATGTTTCCTACTTTTAGAACTCATATGTAGTTTCCACAAGAATATCGGAAATGATCTTATCACCCAATATATTAAAATCTACAAAGGGATACCACCACGTCTCAGCAAACCAAAGTACATTAAATCACTATTCACAGTTCAAGGTAGATGACACAGTAACCTTTATGATAAATCTCCCACCAGAACAGTAAATCATGGTATTAAAGGAGTTTCACAGCTCTAGGCTGGAGACTATACTGCTTCAACAGCAGAGTTCTGACTCCAGAAATGACTGAGCTACAATGAAAGACGGGTGTGGAGGAACTGCAGTTCACGACTAAGATTTGAGCTTGAATGACAATCCAATCTTCCACCCACTGGATGGATGCACATGGTGGAAAACTAACATTCCCAGAGTTACAGTGCACAGTTTGTAGAAGGTATTTTTAATTTTTATTGAAAGTAATCGAATAACTGGAAATATAAACTTCATGGTTAGGAAATAATGCTAAATTAAACTGAAGGTGAATTGTTCTCATTTGGCCATTCATATTTTGGGATAACATTTTCAAAAATGAAGGCATACAAGAAAAAAAGAGAACTAGTAAACACCTGGAATGGTCCACAGCCACTTCTGGGGGCAAACCAGGCATCTCTGTCTTATTTTCGAGCTAATAAATGACTCATTAACATGCAACTGCTGATTCAATTAATTCTATTTTCAAGAGTATATAAAATAACATCCAAGCAATTTCACAAAAATACTGACACTATATTAGCAAATTTCTTGAAGAAAGCTTTGGAATATCTTACTAACAATTAAAAGCCTGTGAGGAAAAAGGAAAAAAGAGATAATTATCACCTATGAGGTTTGTGGGATGTTCTGTGAGGACTGTGGGATGTTCTGTGAGGACTGTGGGATGTTCTGTGATGTTCTGTGAGGACTGTGAGGTTTGTGGGATGTTCTGTGAGACTGTGGGATGTTTCTGTGAGGACTGTGGGATGTTCTGTGAGGACTGTGGGATGTTTCTGTGAGGACTGTGGGATGTTCTGTGAGACTTTGGGATGTTCTGTGAGGACTGTGGGATGTTCTGTGAGACTGTGGGATGTTCTGTGAGACTATGGGATGTGCTGTGAGGACTGTGGGATGTTCTGTGAGGACTGTGGGATGTTCTGTGAGGACTGTGGGATGTTCTGTGAGACTGTGGGATGTGCTGTGAGGACTGTGGGATGTTCTGTGAGACTGTGGGATGTTCTGTGAGGACTGTGGGATGTTCTGTGAGGACTGTGGGATGTTTCTGTGAGGACTGTGGGATGTTCTGTGAGACTGTGGGATGTTCTGTGAGGATTGTGGGATGTTCTGTGAGGACTGTGGGATGTTCTGTGAGACTGTGGGATGTGCTGTGAGGACTGTGGGATGTTCTGTGAGACTGTGGGATGTGCTGTGAGACTGTGGGATGTTCTGTGAGGACTGTGGGATGTTCTGTGAGGACTGTGGGATGTTCTGTGAGACTGTGGGATGTTCTGTGAGACTGTGGGATGTTCTGTGAGACTGGGATGTTCTGTGAGACTGTGGGATGTTCTTTGAGGACTGTGAGAATGATCTCTCAGTGTTTATCTTCAGAGATATAATTAAAGTACATCCTTGTAGCACCAGGAGTGAACAAGCACGAAAATGATCATTTGGGTATTGGCTCTCTGACAGTTGAGTAGATAGTAAATAGAAGTACGTGAGGAGAGAGGAGAGTTCAGCACTGCACTATCCACATCACAGTGGACTGGATCCACACAAATCTTTCCTTTAGGGATAAAGAATCTGTGTTTGGTAACCACTGTCAAATGTATCTATTGGGACCCACTTAGCAACCCAAAGTTTCAACTGCAGTTCTTCTGATGGACAAAATAAATCAGGCAATAACAGGGTTTACCTGATTGTCAGAAAGCCACAATGCGGCGAGCTCTTTAAGTTTGGTGAAGGAGAATGGCAAATTCTTCAACCTGTAGAAACAAGAGAGTTCTAACAGCACGGGCAGGGGAGACGTTCCTTTCCAAGAACTGCTCACCACATGCTGCCGATTCAGCCTCTTCTTTCTCTCCCATCGAGCAGCCTGACTCATCTTAAAACAGTAGAAATCATTCTATTTATTTATTAATGTATTAATCCATTAACGTATGTGTTTGTGTGCGTATGTGTGCATGTCTGTGCAGAGGTCAGAAAACAGCTTGTGGTGATTTGTTCTCTCGTCCTCCCACGTGGGTCCCAGGGATCAAACTGGGGTCACAGGGCTGGCGACAAGGGCCTTCACCTGCTGAACTATATCTCAGGCCCAAAAGGATGAAACTCTTTCTAGTCTTCCAAATGCTTTCCATAGTATCCGAATAGAAAAGTATGATTAGCAAGCATGGTCAGGCCACACAGTATGTGCCCTTGGGGCTGGAGACGTGGCTCTGTGGTTAAGAGCACTTGCTGCTGCTCTTCCAGGGGACCTGAGTTCAGTTCCCTGAGCCTACATCAGGTGGCTCATAACTACAGGTAATTTCAGCCCCAGGGGTCCCACATCCTCTTCTGGTCTCTGCAGACACACACACACACACACACACACACACACACACACACACACACACACACAAATAAAAAACCTAAAAACCCAAACCTAAAGCTGCATGGCCTGCCTTTGCCTTTGGCCTTCTTTCACTCCCTGCTGAAGCACTCGCTGGTCTCTCCCAACCCAGCACAAAGTTCATCCCAGGCTTTCCGGCACTTTCCTCCTGCCACACTTCACTTGACCAGACGCCATAGCTCTGTAGTTCTGTTTAAATGCCATTTTCTCACAGCGGTTTTTAACTAAGCTACCTCACCCAGTCCCGTCTCAGAGCACATTTGCCTGCACAGAACAGTTCATGGTTTTTACATGTAGCTAACTTTTGTGGTTATCTGTTTAATGTCTCCTATCCCCACAAGACTGTAGGTTCCATGGGCAAGGGCTATGCCTGCCTTGTGTCTAGATCAGTTCCCAGTTCTGGAAGTGACGCTGATCTCCAGGAACTGTTCTGTTCTTTCATCCCTTGGCCCATTTCAAAGAGGAGTCTTTGAAAACAGCACTTTGGAGACATGTGGTTTGGCCTCGGCTGTAGTCGTCAGCCAAATCTGTGGTGTTGGCAGCAGCCTTTGGAAGGCCTAACTATCGAATACCTACTTCTGTCTGCTTCCTGACACTCTTGAAACTGTGTATTGCCAGCACATGCCTAGGCTACCATCACCTCTGGACTGCAGAGCGAGTAATGCAAACATGCTCACCAATGAGAGGGGTCACAAACTTGCTGTGAATGAAAACATTCTACATCAAACTGGCAATGAAAATTTCCTTAAGTGTTTTATATATTGGAATTCTATTAGACAATTGATAAATGTGTTTTAGGAAAAGAAATAGAAAAATGTTATAATAATTAATGGGGAGTTCATTTTATGTTCAAAAGTAATTAAGCACTTTCAAGTAATTTAGTAAATATGAAAAGAGATTGACTTCCAACATAAATATCAATCATGTGCATCAGATAGAGAACTTTAGGGAGACCAGAACAACCCTTCTGAACTAATGACTATTTCAAAACAAATAAGAACACAAAGAATAACAGGTATTACATCATATCATGAGCCTTCCTTGGTAGAATTACAACTTTAACTTCGAACTAAATTATACAAGTTATTTAAATTCATTTATACCAGAAATTGTGAAGTAGCTTTATGGGGTAGTGGTGGCATTTTTAATATTATATGTGTGTAAATTAAAAGCTGCCAACAGGTATGGCAGCGACATAAATGTGTGCAACATGCGTATCATGTTCAGCCCCGTCCCTGAGAGGTCATCGAGACCCAGTCATAATGTGAGGCAGGAGGGAAGGAGAGGCACGTCAGAGCAGGGACTGATTGCTCTGTGCTCTCCCTATAACCCCTGTTGGAGGTCGACTTCTGCTCAGCCTCATAAGGAGCAGTACAGGCCACCATCTTGTAGCTCACAGAACATAAGAGCCACTGCTCCTAGCTACGATGCCAAACTTCACAACTGACTATATTTAAACACAAAATTGCAATAACCACTACTTATGGACAACATTTTTCACTTAAGATTTCCTCTAAGCAGTTTATTCTCAGGGGTGATATTAACTTTGGCCTCTAATTTCCTTGACCATTGATTTTTTTTTAACCTTTGAATTGGCTAATTAATTGAAAATATTAATTTGGCTCTGGTCTACCTTGCAGTTATCACACTATGTAAAGTGTGTGATTCTTTAAACATCTATTTTTGACCTGATGAGGTATTTTAAACTTCTGGCTTCATGAGTTTCTGTGTCTTATTCATAAATATTTCTTCAGCACCTAGGAGTGTTGCAGCCTACCACCAGCACTCAGATCTCCTAGATTTGCTAGGTAAGGAACTCCAATGTATTACTACTCCTAATTATGGGTCAAGTGTAGTGTGATATTTGGTAAGTGAACTTTCTGTATAATCACTCAGACTGTTAGGGAAAAATAAGAATTTAGGAGAGCTTTCTACAGCTTGTCATGAAAGTTCCATTCCAGGTTGACCAGCCGCAGACTGGCTTACATCACTAGCCCCATCACGCTTGCACTGGGATGTATCTGAAGCCTGTAGAAATAGTTTTCGGTGGTGTTTCCATGGTCACACTTCCTAATCTAGCTCATGGGAATATACTGAGAGATTTTAACAACAGCCTTCTGAAGTCAGGTGTGACACTCACTGTGTCTGGTCACACGACAAGGACATGCTGGACAAGGTTGGATGTCTCCTTGTCACTTTGGTTTGTAAATAAAACCCCAAACCTTTTAACAAGATGCCTTACTGTCTTATGTTGGAACACCTAATTACCTGAGAGAAGTCTTTAAATTTCACATTACTTTCTCTTAAGGAAACTGAAACACAAGAACTTTTGTGAGTATGCTTTATGATTTCCTAAACACTGGCCTTTAAAAATTTTTTGAGACATGGTCTTACTAGATGGCACTGGCTGACCTAGAACTTGCTAAATAGACCAGGCTGGCCTCAAACTCACAGAGATCTGCCTGCCTCTGTTGCCCATGTGCTGGGATTAAAGGCGTGTGCTATAAACATTGGTCTGCTGCATGGTTTGAGTTCCTCACACCATCACTCATCTGACAGAACTTGCCGGAACAGGGTTCACACATTCTGCACTGTAACCGTGGTCTGTGGTCATTTTCAGTCAGTCTTTGATCCCTTCCTTTTCTGTTCAGGGAAAGCTGTCCACAGAGATGGAGGGAGCAAGCCTGACTGAAGAGCTTCACTTTCCTTCCTGCCGTCCGCACCAGAACTCTTACCACACGGATGGGATTGCCCTTCTTGTCATCCCCCTTATCCGAACATGACTAAATATTTACGGTTGTCCTTCTTTGCTGCAGTGGGCAAACCCTGTCCCTGTGGAGTAGCAACTGACTAGCGATATCCTTGTTGGCATGCTGGTGTGTGTGTGTGTATTCACACACACACTCGTCTCAGTTAACGAATTCTCTAGACTTTTTTAATATTTTATTTTGTTATTTCTATTTTATGTGTATGAGTGTATTGCCTGCACATATGTGAGTGCACCCGTGTCATGCAATGCTGCAGATGTCAGAGAGGGCTTTGGATTCCCCTGGAACTGGAGTTAAGGATGGTTCGTAGCCAGAATGTGGGTGCTGGGAATCGAACCCGGATCCTCTGCAAGAGCAGTCAGTGCTCTTAACCACTGATCCATCTCCCTAGCCTCATGAATTCTCTAGACTTTTGTAATTATTTTTCATTATGCTTATATAACCATGTTTCTTAAAGGAAGATTTTGCTATATACATGAGTGTCTACATTTTATAATCTAATCTACCATAAACATGACTTTAATATAACAAAATAATAAAAGAAATATGTGGCATACAAATTTAGCTATGCCATTGTCTACTTATAGCATATATTTGCATTTCATATATGTAATAGGATATAGAAATGTTCCAAATACTGTACACAAACAGCTATAATTTACTTTCAGAAAATAACTTATATGCAATAATGAGATCTTGCAAAAATACCTGTTATCACTCAAATTTAAAACTCTTAGTTTCTGCATCTGTCCAATTTCTTCAGGAAGAAACTCCAGCTTATTGGAGCGAAGAGACATAACGGTCACATTCTTACAGCTTCCAATCTACAAGAGTCAAAGGGAAGATGTAGGGTCATCCATGGCGGGGGAGCTCACAGAATAAACAAAAGATGTTTTAAAAAGGGATCATGGTGCACTGGTAGTTCATGTTAACTTTCCTAGGTTAAAGAACAATTTAAGTTACAGATACATTTTTTTTCTCTTATTTTTTTTCTCTTCTTTGAGATAGGGTTTCACACGTTAGTTCTGGCTAACCTGAGACTTACAGTAGTACCCAGAGTAGCCTTGAACTCATAGTGATCCTCCTGGGTCGGTCTCCTGAGTTCTGGGATCACAGGGATGTGCCACTACAACTGGCTTACCGAGTCCATATCATTTTAGTCTTTGTCTTAACACGGCTACCATCCTACACGTTTACAACCTTGCTCTTTCAGCCTCTGTCACATGTATTCTTTCAGATAGGAAGGTAGCACATACCTCCTATACTTTCACATATCAAGAATCATTTTCTTAATAGTTTAGACATGTAAATACTTGGTATCATTGGTTTTTTTTGCCTTTCTAGGTATTAACTACTCCTACTGTGTTCGTAACAGGAGAGCATACATATTCAAAAATGAAATACCATTGATAGTTCCTTGGCAAAGCTAGTTTCATGTCACATTGCAATGGTGTTTGTCATTTTTATTAGTAACTTTTAACCATGAAGTCATGATATATTTATTATTATTCTATCGTTATGGAAGTGCTTAGTAGAAAGTATTAGATTCAAAATACATTTCACATGCTTTTTCAACAGCAGTAAATTAAATTCAGTTTAGAGATAGAAATTAACAATCTCTTGATGTATCTGGAAGCTAAAATAATATTACAAGAAACATGAAGCTTACAAACATACTTATGATAAAAAAAGACCCTTTTACTTTGGAAATGGAGATGTAATTATCCCAAATGCTATGGATAACTATTCTTAAAAGCAAAGTACATAAATTAAATGATTCAAAATTGCATTTCTTAGCATTGATTAACATATTTTATTATTCTTTGCATGCAATATTTAAGTCAGATGCATTATCTGGAGTTTGTCATTTAAGAGACAATAATTAGCATATATCTATATAAATAGGCAATTCCTACATATTTTCACGATTCAGCTCATAAATGTACCCTGCCGTTGCACCTGTTAGGGTTTCATTTCAAAACAGATTGATGAAAGCTAATTGATAGAAATGAGTTTGCTTCTCACTTCTCTGGGTAGCTCTGGGAGGAAGTTCTCATCCACAGCTAAGGTTCGGAGACTGTGGAGGAAGCCGACGGTAGAGGGGAGCGATTCCAGCTCGTTGCAGCTGCAGTCAAACTCTTCCAACAAAGAGAGGCTGAGAAGTCAAGCACACGAGTTAGACCCTCTAAAAAGCCACGTGCTAACGAAAAGTTTTGGAAAAGCCACATGTCCAAATTCACGAAAAATCTAGGAATGAACAACAATATGTAAATTAATTCACTTAACAAGTTCAGTCAAATGGGTCAAATATCATCAAGTAGCATGGCTTAATGTGGTCAGAAAGCAAGACAGATCGGGGTAAACCACACCAGATTTTACTAAGCACTTTAGAGGTTAACCTCTGCCTCCCATTCCCTTTTAACAACTGTATAAGACATCTACCTTTAAAATCCATTTTACAGATGAACAAATTGAGGCTTACAGACACCAAGGGATGGGCCCTAAGCCACACCAAGTAGCAGAGCTGGGACTGAAACACTAACACCATTATTCTGCCTCTGAGGCCGGACGTTCGCAGTCAGCTGTAAATGAACTAGCTGGGGTAAGGTTAAAGAATCAGCTTCCCCATCACTTAGTGAACACGTGGAAATCAAGCAGAGTTGAAGTCAGATACTTGTGTTCCAGCTCTGCCATTTACTCCATGTATGCTCAATAAATAACACAAAACCCACCACAGTGCAGTAAATAAATAAATGAATAAATAATAAATAAACAATAAATAATAAAAATTCTGCTTCATTTACCTCCTAGGCTGAGACACACCAGAGAAGAAATTCAGTAAGTATGTGGTGATCTGAAGACAAAAAGCCACAGCAAAGATGGGTAGTGAGAGCCGGTCATCAGGCTCTGCTCAGGAAGACCCAAGACTTCCATTACGGAAAGGGCAGAGTGAGTTTAATAGTCTGAGTACAGTTAGCAAGCCAAGACCTGTTCAGGAACCAGGAGACAGCTGTTGCTTTTCCGTCCAGAGTGACTCTGGGCAGGGTCCCCCCCAGGCTTGGGAGCCTTACCAGGTTCAACTGGTTAGAAGCAGTTGTGGTAAAACACAGCATTCAACTTTGCATAGCAGCTTTAGGCAAGCACTGATAAGTGAAAAGTTATTTCTTTACACACACAAGTCAGGGAATTTCTGTGAAAGCCTCAGAGGATGTAAATAAATCCTGCCTCCAAGTCCGGCTTCATAAGATGTGAGAACCTAGGGAAGGCCCTGCAATCAAGCACATGCTGAGTAAGGTCTTTTCTTATTTTTGGTGAAGCCAATTAAATTTGTTTCTAGTTGAGACCACCACGCACATGAATGGTCACACTGCTGGGTTTCAGGTGGGCAGAAAAATGTGCTCTGCTTCATATGAGTGTGTGAGGCAGGAGGCGAAGCCCAGTAACACTGTCACTGTCTCCGTTTTACAGAAAGATGCCTAGCACTGTGCTTTATAGACAGAAGGCACTTACTGAATTTTGTCAACTTGGATAAAGGGCTTCTACCAGAGCTTAGGGTCATCTACTCAGCAAGTGGTCATAAAACTACCAGGCTTTTTTTTTAACAGTAAAAATTTCAGCTATATATTTCAGGCTGAGTTAAAGACAGGTTAAACACTTAAAAATTTTACTGCAGAGCCTCATTTTTTCTTTCTTTCATATGAACATGTTTTTTAAAAAAATTATGTGTATGAGTGTATACCCTGCATGTATGTAAGCACACCTGTGTCATGCAATGCCCTTGGAGGTCAGAAGAGGGTGTTGGATCCCCTGGAACCGGAGTTACAGATGGTTGTTAGCTGCCATGTGGGTGCTGGGAATTGAACCCAGGTCCGCTGCAAGAGCAGCCAGTGATCCTAACCGCTGAACCATCTCTCCAGTCCCTTGAACATGTTTTAAGGTTGGTCTTCAGTTCTCACTTGCCACAGTTCCATGTGCACGGGTCTCAGCTGCCATGCTTCCTTAAACAGCCCTGGACCCTCAACAATAGGGTTCAGATTTCAGCTACTTGGTATTTTAATTGTACCCGCTTAAAGCATAGTAGTTTCTCCTGTCCACAAATCACAATGTGACTAGTGAGGTACATCATGACTGGTGACCATGCACATTGCTGTTAAAGTCCCTTGGTTGGTCATGCACAAACATACTAAATTCACACACAGCAAGGCAGGCAGTTGTATGGTCTTCTTGTCTGCCATCAGTAGACAGACACTGTGCAAAACAATTTGACTGTCCAAACACTACTACTGGGGCTGAGGCGATGGCTCAGTGGGTAATGTGTGTGTCACGCCAGCATGAGGACCCGAGTTCAGTTCCCATCACCACATAAAAGCTGGGTATGCTGGTTTATGTGTTGGGTAATCTCAGCACTGGGGACAAAGAGGCAGGATGATCCCTGGGGCTCTCTGGCCAGCCAGTCTACCGTAGTTGGTAAGCTCCAGACCAGTGAGAGACCTGCAAATACCCAGGTGGATAACCTCTGCAGAACAGCACCCGAGGCTGACCTCTGGTCTCCACGTGTACACATAAGCATGCATCCTCCCATATGCAGCTGCGTACACATACACATGTACCCCCAATCTGTGTAGCGCAGCCGAAGTGTCTGGTGTACTGTGGAAATACTCCTACGAGGTTTGAATAGAACACACGGAGAATTATAGATGAGATAGCTGACCACAGGAATGTTGACAGCAGCATCAGAGAACCTAGGTGAGCTTCCAGAGGAACCTAGGTGAGGCAAAGCAACCCACACAACCGAGGAAGAGACTGTGACCTGGAGGAAGGATGCTGGTGGGGAGGTTCACCTGAAAGGGACACCCAGAAGTATGCCATGACAGCCAGACCACAAAGGATCAGATCTGAGAAACGGATCCAAACTTTGAAAGGAGGGTAGTAATTCACCAAGGCAAAGAGAAGACACACACCCTACCTCAAAACTCAGCAAGAAAAGAAGGCAAGCAGTGTTCAAAGTCCTGGGCGTTTACAGAACAAAGAAAACTTTCTCAATGTGCTCAATGTTCACGACTACAGTGTAATAAGAAAACAATAGTTTCACTATTTTCTCACTTCTTTATAGATTTATAACTTGCAGCAAGAATATTTAATGTGTGGGGGGCATATTTGAGAGGGAGATGGGGGTTTGATTATGATAAAGATACATGTATGAAATTATCACAGACTCAACAAAATGCTATTTTAAAAAGAGTAATGTCTTGGGGCTGGGAAAATGGTTTAGCAGTTAAGAACACTGGCTGCTCTTGCAGAGGACCAGGGTTTGGTTCCCAGCACCCACATGGCGGATAACAACTGTCTATAACTCCAGTTCCAGGGGATCTGATGCCCTCTTCTGAGCTCCTCGGGCATTGCACGACACGAGTGCACGTACACACATGCAGACAGTATACTTATACACATAAAATTAAAATGATAAATAAAAAAGAGTAATGTCTTGACAGAAGGTCTAAAAAGTTTTGTCATGAATTTTTCCTTTGTTTAAGACTGTTTTGCACTGTTGCAGACTGCATGGTCATTTTTATGGCCCCCGTGGCATTCTGATTTATGCTGCAATACATATTTGATATTCGATCAGCTCCTGGCACACAGCTCCTAAAACCCTTTGTATCACCAACATCCAAGTATCTTTTGCATTAATAAGAAAATGGTGGCTGAGGGTTCCTACAAAGTTTCAGGGGAGGGACACCCCTGGGGGCGTAACCATGAGCTTCAGGGCAGGAACTTCTAGTTCCACCTCTGCGGTGTGAGGAGGGGAGAGAGGCTGAAGGCTGAGCTGACAGGCAAAGGCCAATGACGTTTACAAAATAAAGCCTCCATAAATCCTTCTGGGATGAGGTTCAGGGAGCTTCCGTTGCTGACCATATGGAGCTGCTGGAAGGAGGTCTGCAGACGGCGCCAGCCTCTACTTCCCTTCGAAAGACCTCCTCTTGTTTTACGCTGTTACACGTCTGTCACCTCACAATACGTCCACAGTACAGGCTAATCTATTCCCAGTTTGTCTGAGTCATTCTATCAAAAGATTGGGTTTGAGGAGGAGGGCATTGAAGGAACCTCTGATTTACAGATGGTTGGTCAGGAATGGATGTGTGATCACCTTCTGGGTGGAGGGCAATCCTGTGGGATTGAACCCTTACCTCGAGTTCTAATGCCAACTCCCAGATAGGTGGGTCCAAACTGAGCTAAGCTGTAGAACAGCCATTTCAGGTGAGGGATTGCTTGGTGTGGAAAACAGCACACACTTCAGGCCCCAGTGGTGTTTCTGTGTTGTGTGTTGAGTGTGTAGTCACAAAACCACTGTTTCTCTTTTCCTGTGCTGATCTGTCCCTATGCAAAGCAAGGTCTTCCTGACTTAAAGGGCATCCTTTTCCCTATACAACAGATAATACGAATTGGGAATTTACAGCCTGAGAGCCATTTGGCATCTTTTGGGTTACTAATTTCTCAGGGACCTCAGAAATTCCCAAGATTTAAACCATAACCTACAATTCCAGCTGATTTTCTTAGTGGTTAGCTTACTAAAAACCGCTAATGGTGTTTTAATTCAGGCTCTTGTATAGTAGATTTTATCAAATTATCCCTAGTATTAATAAAAATGAAGTAAAAATAATGAACCAAATAGTATCTATTTCAGAAGCCTTTCCTGTGTCACTATACAGGTTAAAAATGAAAACAGAGAGCATAAGATGTTTTCAAGTAGTGCTTCTTAAACTTGGGCGTCAGGCACATCCCCAGGCCAACTTGCTGAGATGTGGATTCTGATGGTGCAGTTGGGGACCAACCTCTGCACCTGGTATCAGCTCCCAGAAGAAGCAGGGGCTGTGGGCCTGGGAAGGTGTTAAATAAAGGCAGTGCAAATCTTTCAAGAGACACGTTAACAGGCTACTGACAGCTGGGGAGTTACAAGAGCTGTGAATGGGTCGCAGGTCCGTCAGTACCAGTTACATCCCTAGAACACAGCAGCCTTGACCCCATGTTCTGAAGATGTTCTCTCTGCCTTTCTTTAGATTAATTTGGTCTTCAGGATATGCCTGTTTGGAAAGATATTACTGTGCTTTTAGCCCCAATTACAGAACTGATGGCAGCGAGAATGTGATAGAGATAATT